TCATCTGTACTCGTTTTATTTGTCGCGTTTTGAAAATTAGGGAGAAATAGATTGCCATTGATCATTAATTAAATCAAGCGTTTTTAACACATTAAGGTAGGTACCGCCAAAGATTCTCTAAAAATGAGCAAACATGATGAAAATATGTCCAAGACTCAATAAAAACCAAGTTTTAGCGTCAACATTTTTATGTTATTATTAAGAGGAAAGACCAAAGGAGTTTTGATTATTAAATTATATTTTTCATTCTTTTTAGAACCTTCGAAATTTTGGTTAAAATTTTCTTTTTCTTGCGTGAAACGGGGGACCATATATTAATCTAGGAAATTTTTGCGTTTTTTTTTTTCGGTGAAAAAACCAATCGATTTGGAAAAGTTTGTAAAAATCAAATAATTGTGGGATGTTAATGAATCTTTCAGGACTTATTCACAATTGAATGAAATTATTTTAATAGAAAATCTTGTTAAAAATAATTTTCTTACATCTGTTACCCCACCCCCCACACACACACTTATTTAATTTTATGAAATTTCGAGAAATTCATTTTTGTAGAGCTATATATTTACTAATCATAAATTGAAAAGCCCAAGTATTTTAAAAAGAATCTTGAATTGTGTGTATATACGTGCCGATTTTTGTAAATACTGATGTCCATACACATTATCCGAAAATAAGAGCGGTAATTATAGTAAATTTAAAATGCATTGGCATTTTTCTAACATTTCATAAACAAGAGACTTCGTAAGCAAGATTATGAAGTGAAACTACCTATCTATATCTATAAAACAGAAACTGTGTATGTGTGCGTGTGTGTGTGTGTGTGTGTGTGTATGCTATTTATGTACATCCATATTTCTCGGCCGATTTCGATGAAATTGTACACACATGTTGCAATTTGAAAGTTATAACGACCATAGGAAATTTACTGAATATCTAAAACATTGAAACAATTTAACCTCGAGCAACGACCATACAAGTTTTTTATCGATAGAATTCCTTTATTAGGAACAATCAAACACTTGTGAAGGAGATACCATAAACAAGATGAGGTGGGGGAGTAGCTTAGTATACCAACGGATGATGCGTGCAAGCGGGGACGCAGGCAGCCATATCTAGATAGGGGGGAGCGATTATACAATTGCAACCATGTACACACGGGAAACGCCGGGTACGTCGCCTAGTAATTCAATAAGATAGTAGGTTACTTAGTATACTTTTTTACATTTTTAAGATTACTGGGTCGTAAAAAAATATATATATAAAAAAAGGCGTTTACGTTTTATTCTTCAAGTAATTTTTGCACTACAGTTAAGTGCTCTTTATTTAAAAATTCCAAACATTAAGCTAGCTACACGTCATAAAACACACACCTCCACGTTATAAAATGCTTTTCTCCGATTTTTTAAACTAAATATAAATAATATTTGTTTTCATTCAAATTAAACTTTAAATCAGTTAATCGTCCTGAAATAAAATTTCAGAAAAGTATATTTTATTTTTGAAAAAAATTTAATAAAGTGAATTACCCTGAATTGACAAATTTGTCAATATAGCCGATTTTTGCGATTTAAAAAATTATTCCAGTCAATTTAAATTCGGTTTCAAATACAGGAAAGTATTTTGTTTATTGGTAATATTAATTTTAATCTAGCAATTAAAACTAAAATAAAAACTTCAAGAAAGATTTTTCATTTTTAAAATGAATTTTAAACCTTAGGTATCGCATTTTTGGAAGTACCTACATTAAGGCTGTAATATGGATAATTTGATCTTAACATTACTTTTTTTTTTATTAACTCTGCATGAAATCTTCAAATCCTAAACGATCTCTAGATATTCATTTTCGCCTCTCCAAGAATTTGGAAAGCAGAGGAAAGAAGGAAGGAAGGAAGGAAGGAAGGAAGGAAGGAAGGAAGGAAGGAAGGAAGGAACATTTTTGATATCAGGATTTGGTAGATGAGTTTTTATATGAATTCAGTGTGCAGCAAACGGAAAATGTAACAGAAAGGCGCATAGAAATAGCAAAAGATATCTTCCAGAAACTAAGTAAAGTATTAAGACAGAGGAAAATATCGTTAGAAAGTGTGCTGAACTATTATGTAATAACTATTATTCTCCTATATGCCAGTGAATACTGGACAAGTTCGCACAGATAAAGAACGAACTTGAAGAGATAGACGTGGTTCTGTTGCAGTTGTTACCAGTTTCTTAGCTTTTAAATCTAATTCTCAGCATTCAAACAAAGATACATGGTCATGCTACCAGGAAATAACAAGTGATATTTGTCTGCCGCTCCCACTAATCGTAGTAGTCGCAAAAAGTAGATTTCAAGATTTGGAGAGAAAGTGAGAGAAAAGCAAATCATGCGAAATTGTATACAACCAGGAAATAAGACTGGGCCATTTAGGGTGAGCTACCTGGAGGAAAAAATAAATGATGATGAGGGGGTAAAAAAGTACAGTGCGACGCTCGCCAGCAGGCCAGCTGTTTTTTTCTTCTTCGGTCGCCTCAAGGAAATGGATTGTGTGGCTCCATTTCTCTGCCGTTACACTATGCAGTTGAGAAACAGACACCAACTCAGCCGCGCCTACTTCAACTTTCTCTTGGACTTCTGTTCGCCCTTTTGTTGCTGCTGATCCTGGTCGCGTTTCTTGCTACTGCAGACGTCCTGTTGATGTGAAGCACTTCCGTCCATTCTCCGGGACCATTTTTTGTTACTTTGGCACTTGTGTCAGTGCTTTCCTTGGCCGCTGCGGTTCCGATCTTTTCCCAGGACACGTTTTGGATAGATGAGCGGCAGCTCCACAGGCCCAACAGAGAGGACGTCGACCTTTAACAGTCACGTAGATGGGACCTCTTTCACAAGTAAGTACATTTGGCATCGCCCCAAAATTCTTCCTGGTAACCGTTACCATGAATTTCACGTCTTCAGTAGCTATCCCGGCCTTACTTTCGATGGCTGAAACACTGGCCACCTTGCCAAATTTCGAAAAGTGGTCAAGTGAAATAAACAGTGGAACTCCATGCAGAGTTACTTTTGTTTTCCTTGTTCCAAGGTACTCCGTTTGGAGCCTCACTGACTTGGTTGTCAATATGCTCCCCGCCAGTGTCTTAGCTGCGTCCTCTGATGCCAGCAGGATATCCCACATAGCTCTAACTCTTCGGGTTAAAACTTTAGCCCCAATGTTCAGACTTTTAATAGCTTCCTTCATTATGTCCCTGTTAACTCCAATCAGTTTGCTAGTCTTGACATCTGCAGTTACCAAGGAGATAGTTTTGGTGTTCACCGCTTCCAGTAGAGATGGCACTGGTACCAATTCATTCTCCTTCACAAAACTTTCAAACTTCTCCGAGAGTCCCTTATAATATTCGGGTCCATTTTGAGTTGGTTTATCACCTGCCCACACCGAATGGTTTGCTGGCATGGGTTTTCTACTCTTGAAGTTGGGACTGCGCCATAGTGTTGGCGCTGCCACAACACCGGTTGAAAACACAAAAAGAAGTCACAGAAAATATAGGAACAATGGATGCAAAACAGCATTTAAAAGACGTAACCACACTTACTTTGAGACAATGTAACACACGGAAATTTCAAGGGAATAACCGACGTAGAGACTGACGTGCAATGAAAAAGGAGTCTCGCGAACGAAAAACTGAACGGTAACACAAAAAATCTCCCACCGAATGACTTCCCTAAGACCACCGAATGACTTTTTTTTTTCCGATGCTGCTGGCACTCCGCTTTTTATGCTATTTCAAGACGGCCAAAATTTGCATGTGTGCAAATATCGTCTCGTTTTGGACGAGATAGGTGCGCATAAATTGTCTTCAATAGCAGCCATATTTCTTTTTTGTCACCACTTTGTAGGCAAGACACGTTCGCGCTCGTTTCGAATTCCGAGGTAAGTCATGTCTTTCGTTACGCTACCTACACAGAAAATAAAGAAAGAAATCAACATGTGTGGTTGGTATATCAAATGTCCGTACCTGAAATGTACAGCTGTAAAGAATCTTTTTTTTCAGGGCGATAAAATGTGTCCTGATTGTGAAGGCAGCATTTTGGGAGACAACGACGAAACGAGGAAAAAGAGGCCGAACCTGGTAACAAATATCCGAAGAGAGAATTAAGAGGAAGAAAGAGGGTTGCTACCTCGGTTTATACGATCCCGCTAACAATTCTAATTGGCGGTAGCCTGCGTATCACCTTTTTTTTTTAACCAAAAATAGACATTAGTCTATTTTTGATCACGGAAATAAACGTCACATGCAGATTTTAATTTCCACTAAAATTCACAGTTCTACTGATGAACGCTGAGAATAACAAGGATAGAATATATGAGTAACGAAGAAATTTTACGGAAAACAAGAACAATAAGTAAAAATCGATACTTACAATCAGAAAGAAACGGCTTAGAATTTTGGGAAACATAATGAGGAAAAGAGGTCTAGAGAATTTAACACACAGAGGACATATTGAAGGCAACAGAAGCAGATAACAGCGAGTAAACAAATTAATGTGTTTGCTTGAATGGTTGCAGAACGAGGCTAAAGAGAGATTGTAACGGTTAAAAAACTACGTAGAGCAACATAAGCCACGGTCACCTATATTCTTAAAGGACATGTTACATAAGAAAAATAAGTGCAAGACTTTAAGCTTCAATCTTTGTGTGAAGATACATTAAAAGGAATTATACGGATTTGCATTCAACAGTACGGCTAAGAATTAGTAACTTACAGTTATTTTTTCAGGAGAAAGTAATTGGCTCTGTCATTCTCAGACTGAGTTTTTTTTAGCGTTACTATACGATACGTAATAAGAAACGGTTTTTACCCCCTTCAACACGACGTGGTTTAAGTGTATCATTGCTGCATATGAATTTATGGAGTAAAATATCTTTTATAAGGCTTTCTCCCACCGCGAAGAAAAAAAAACTTTGATGATCATAATTTATTCTATTTTTATTTATTTTGTTATATCTTCCACCTCTAGTGAGACACGATTAACGAACCTTGCATCTACGGTTGACGGGCAGCGACGATGAAAACCTTTTCGAAAACCAGATGCCCAAATAAATAAATAAAGAAAGAAAGAAAGAAAGAAAGAGTGTACAAAGAAAGATTTTACAAAGAAAGAAAGATTTTACAAAGAAAGAAGTTAAAAAACGTGTGTGGTGGATAAAAGAAAAAAAGCTGAAAAGGAAGTGCAGAACACCAAAGAGAAGGAGCGAGTTGGGAAGGTAGACAGATAGACAAACAGACAGACAAGGAGAGGATCTGGCGTCAAAGAAAAAAAAACCCAATAAAATCAAGTACGTGGAAGAAATAAATAAAAAATATTAAAGAAAAAAGAAATGAATAAGCAAAAATAAATAATACCAGCTGCACCTCGTTAACAATCGTTTTTTGTCTGGACTACAAAATCTCTTTCTCTCTCTCTCTCTCTCTCTCTCTCTATATATATATATATATATATATATATATATATATATATATATATATATATATATATATATATATATATTCTTCCTTTTCTTGCACGATGAATTCAGTCGATTTCTGAATCGCTGAAAAAGAGAATAGGGAGAAAAATTACAGCAATACTTTTTCGTCTCCTTATCCAGGAGAACTGCAATTTATACTGCGAAAATGATAAATTAGAAATGTGTAGCCTGGGGATTTGGCTATAAAAATAATTCAATGCAAAAATGGAAAACGAAATATCTTACAATATTTGTAATTTATCCAACATCTGGCCCTGATGAACGTTTCGACGCGAAACCCTTTAGTTGGTTAACCTTGCCAATATGTATTTTGGACTATTTGGGCCTAAATTTAGTTGATTTCCGAATCTGACTGTTTGTTTCACGTTTTTTCAGTCTTCTGTTTTCGCACTTAATGAATTTGTCCTTTCATTTCAACAGTCAAAAATATCAAAAATTTCATACTATTTACTTGATCCATCAACAAAAGACAATTTAAGACTAAAGTGCTTTTAAAGAGATGAATTAATTATCTCCCTTTTTTTCATAACACTATTTTTATAATTTTATATTTTTATAATTATGCATCGACTGTTGAAGTTGTTATTTATTAAGTTTAACTGAGCTTTTGGCACATTGAACTCGATACAAATGATTTGCGAGAGCAACTTGTTAACCGTTACAACATAGGTTTGTTCGTAGGAGCAAAGATAAGATAAATTGAAATCGTACCTGTCCCGACAAGATCCAACTACAATCCAAATACTATTGTTTTATTTCTCTACTACTGTCAGAATTTGCAATGTCACTATATATGATGTATTTGTTTAATAAATCCTCCCGGTGATATAACAAGGATTTGTTAATATATATTTTCTTTCAACTATTCTTGTTGTTCTTTGTGCCATGATACTCTGACGAGTCTCTTTCATATCCAAAGGTGAGCAACTTAATAAGTAACTTAATACTTCAGTTCGTATGTAGTTTGTTACCGATTTAAATATTTAAATATATGATCTTATGATAGTAACCATTATTATATAAAAACATATATATATATATATATATATATATATATATATATATATATATATATATCATTATTATTATTGTTGAGTAAGTGAGCAGCACACCAATAGAGTAGCGCTTGGGTACAAATATACAAAGCCCAGCATACACATCATGTTATTCAGTCAAATAAATGTATACCAGGCACATACATCATAGCCAAATGTGAGCGAGATGGTTAGAGTTTTTACTAAAATCAGTGCATAATCTTTCATTCGGAGCCCAGTCAGAAATACCATAAGGTTGGGTAATCCAGTCCGTTCCGACGGTCACTGATTGAGGATAAAATAATTGGGGGGGAGAGAGAATGGGAGAAGAAATAATGTCACATCTCCTATCAGAAATATTAAAAAAGAGGCATGCAATAACAAACAAACCTCGAAACTACTATGTGAAATTTGGCAGATACAAACATTTATTACAATGACATGAAACAATATAACTAAAAAAAAATGTAAAAAACATTGTTTTTTTTTTTTAAATTTTAAAAAGCTTGGACAAAAATTTCCTTTAGCACGCCTTATTGTGAACAAAGCAAGATAACATAATAAAATTATAGAAATTATTGGCTCTAAAAAAGATTTATAATAAAAATTTTCAGATCATAAAAAACAAACTTGAGAAGGTGATACGAAAAATGTTGAAAAAGGTGCACCTGCCTAAATAGTGAGACGAAAAAACTACTTTGACTGTCAATTCATGAGCGTCTCTGGAAAATTTAACGATATTTTGAAATGTCTTTCTGTTTTGTTCGTGCTTTCTTTGAGCTTCATTTTTGTCGGCGTAGAAGTTGTCAACGTAGTCCTGAAGAAATGACGAAAGCTTTTAGCCTTTTGCTCTTCTATTGTGAATGCCAAAAACACTTTCGCTCTCTGCAGCCAGTCGGATTCCTTCGCACCTGACGACTAATTCCCTTTTGCTTTTCATCCGCTGACCAGTATTCTTATATACTCTTAAAGATGCTTCAAACAAGTTTCAATTTTAAATTTACGAGGAAAGAACAAAAAATACAAGTAAAATATATATTTCTAAATTTGAAGAAATTAAACACCAACAGTCTGCCATGAATATTTTTGACGTTTCTTTTTAGAGCCAATTCTAAAAATAACAAAAAAACTTTTTTCTTAATACACTGCACCCAAAAGTAAGTGTATATAACAAACCTAGATTATTTAATATTTATTTGATGACACCTTTTAATTAATTATTATTTTATTATTTTATATTACTAAAATATCAAAAAATTATAAGGATGTTATCAAGTATCTAGACGGCCTTGGCTGCTCGTGAGAAATGATATTGAAAAATATTGAATAATATAAACAAATATGAAAATGATATTGAAACGGAAAACATCCTTTAATTACAAAATCGCATCAAAACTAAACGAGGAGACAAGCAATGTTTATTAAGTTTGTCTCATAGAACAGATCGATTCTTGATCGAGTTTCTACTTCGTTGAACATACTGTGCTTCTGGATTTGTATCACACTAAGTTGAGGCTAAAACCAAAGGGAAATTGCAAACCAATGCGAAACTTCTGACAGACCTACAGCATGGCGACTTTTTTAAGTTTTCTGAGTACTCTTCATTTTGATTAAATTTTATGGAGATTATAACATCCCAGTAGATTCGTATCAGTTGATTTGTACTTAATTACATTATATAAAATATCCTTTTAAAGAAAAAGGATTTTCTTCAACTGAAACGGGCCGCATTGTTTAACAAACGCTTGATTACAATATAAATAACTACCGAACAGTTTCATTTACTTACTTCCTCGGTTGATTCCTTCGTCTGATTTTTAATTTCTGATGCAACAAATTTGAGAATGCTGTTATTTAATTAATTGTGATTCTATTGATATTTTTAATTACACAAGTATAAATATAATTACATTGATATCTAGACAGATTTTTGCATTTCAAGCCCAAGAGCTATTTGCGCACTTCTAAAATCTTTAATATTCATAATTACGAATATCAGTAGCAGTGGTGTTATTCGGACTTGGTGTTATGAGTCAAGACAGAACAAGAGGGAACTGTGGCTAGAATTAGGCTTATCCTCTCCTCTATTTGCTATAATTTGCAAAGAGGGAATTTGGTTTTCTCATGAGCTTTCGCATGAGAACCAGATACAACGTTCTGCCATTGGCAAGAGTCTTTTAACCATGAATGCCAACCTTTTATTTTTGCATCGCATTGTTACAAGTGATGAAAAATGGGTTTTGCATTTCATCAGAAAACGAAAAATAAAGCGGTTATAACAACATAAGAAACCAGTGCCAACACCATGTCTCCATCCACATCAGTCCTTGCTTTGTGACTGGTAGACTATGAAATTTGTAATCCATTACAGGCGAACCATCACTAAGATTCCTTAAAACGTTAAAGTTTTTAAAAATGCATTGTAGACATAAAAATAAAAGTGGATGAGACGGTTATATAACCAGTATTGAAAGTAGGTGGGATATTAAGCACCCTGAAGAGGAAAATAAAGCATAAAAGATTTTTTAAAAAATGCTTTTAATCATGAAAATTTATGTCTCGGATTATGGATTTCTTCACAAGAAAAAAATTTCGCCATAATCGCGATTAAAACGAAGGCACATAAAATCAGTCAGAAAAATGAATAGGGAATCAGTTATAATATTGAAAGAAAAAGAAAAATGGGAAGAAAAAAGAAAAAGAAGGAATCGAAGAAAAAACAAAGAAAAAAAAGTTAAGGAATAAAGGAAAGAAAAAGGAAACGAAAAACGAAGGGGAAAATGGAAGCGAAAAAGAAGAAAGAGAAAAAAAGGAAAGAAAAAAATGTAAAAAAATCTTACTTTTATATTTTTCGTAATAAAAAAACAAAAATTGTGAAGAAAATAAAGAAAAGAAAATGAAAATTAATGGAAAAGTGGGAAAAAAGAAAATTTGAAGAAATATATATATATATATATGTGTGTGTGTGTGTGTGTGTGGATGGAATTTTCCTTAACCCCAACATTCTAAACAGTTATTCTTAGTACCGCTTGATAAAGGAACGGAATTTTGTATTTCAGTTTAATTTTTATGATTGAATTTGAATTGAAGTTTCAGTTTTGAAACATGTAAATTCCGGTGTTGCGATGATTATATATTAAAAAAAAAAAATACAATTATAATAATATGCTCTACGGGTGTATCGAGCACTGTTTTTTAAAAATAAGAATAAATACTAAGAACTCTGAATTATAAATCTTTCCTATTATTTTAACATATATATATATATATATATATACTCTCATTTCTCTTTAATTATTTTTATTTAAGATAGATGAATAGAAGTTATTCAAATTTGCAGGTCAATGTATGTTTCGGGTCTATTAGGGCAGCACATAGTAATCATCTCACCACAAATCACCAACCTTTCGCCTCGGTTCGTTATAAAGATGGCTGCCATTCTGTTATACCGGGACATACCTATTCTATTGTTAATAGACTCTCCCACCTATAATAAGTAGGAGTAGTAGCAGTCGCCAGAGGGAGCTCAGTGAGTTGGTGAGTCAGTCAATGTCGGGCATTAAAGTATCAACCACCACAACTAGATTGCTGCGTCATTAACTATTATATCAAGTTCCTAATGTTTTGTACGTCGAACCTTTTTAGGACCGACTTTGTGAAATACAAGCCTCCACTGTGAAAACTACAAATTCAAAGGCCCAAAATCTTTTTTAGACGGAATGAAAAAATGTTCGCTCGCATAACTCAGTTATTATGTGCAACATTAACATCCAAAACAGCTGAAAGGGACTCAACAAATCATATGCACGTTGCGATAAATAACACTAATTTGCTTTAATATTTTTCTTCCTCCACTACTGAGGATGTAACGTTTTGTCTTGAGTGATTGCTAAGTCAGCGCTGTTTGCTAGTTTATAACGGCATTAGGTTGAAAGTGATTTTCAAAAGAATTGCTCAGGTGCTTTCTTTGTGGATAGCTAATTATTAGCACATCATTGTGTAGAGTAAATTCTATCCACGCCTAGGTGCTCCCGATTTCTGATCAGACTAAAGTTAAAATAAATCAATGACGACAACAGATGTACTCTTCCTTCAATCTCTTCTTTTTTTACATTGAAAATTACTTAAATGGGTTCTTCAGTTGATGGTGCAACATGCTAAATAAGGTTGTGAATTCAGAGTTCGGTTTTTGAATAATAGACTGGTTGCCAACCATAGCTAGAGAGCACTATCTGCCTTGACATTTAACCCATAGCTGAGGGCAGAAGAGCTGGATATTTGTGCAAAAATGTATCTAATGAATTCAGCTTGCTGATTTCTCTTTCCGATCTGCTAACTATGACACAACCCGCCAATTTATGGTCATCAAGAAAACTCAAATTAAAATATCAGATGACGTAAGATTGAACCGTGGCTATCATATAAGAAAAGAATGTAACTTAATGATGCAGATATAAATAGATACTTCGAGGTTTTACGACTGAAATTCTGACTGCGTTTAAAACCTGTTAAGCGACTGAAATATTTGAAATATGGCGTGAAATAATTTATTATAAATATGCATCCATTAGTTTAAAGATGAAGGAAAACATAAACACTTACAACAGGAAAATATTCAACATTTTTAAATTTTCAAAATTGTGAGCAGTTTAGCAAAGTTTGAGATTACCAAATTACTTATCTTTTGTCACAGTACTGTTATATCGTCTGTTTCCTGTTTTCGCAAAACTCAACCAATTTCAACAATTATCCGTTAGTTAAGACAAATACGGTAAAGCGGAGAAAGAAAAATTGTATATGATTAAAAGATAGAAAAGAAGCTGGAAAATATAATAGAGGAGGCAGAAAGAAAAAATGAAAAGAGTGAGTCACAAACAATCGCAAAAAAAGAAAGAAAGAATAATGGATGAGAAGTAAAGAAAGAAAGAAGGAAAGAGTAAGGGATAGCAAGTAAAGAAAGAAAGAAAAGATGACGAAAAAAGAAAGAACACATTTCCATAAAACATATTCACACGCATACATATGCACTCTCTCGCTCCTGTCATACATCAGCCCCTACACATATACTTACCCCCTTCAAACGCTAATTAACCTTCACTATTTTCTAGATTTAGTATGCCAAGCACAAATACCCAGACATAAATATTTAGCCTCTCTAACCAAACGATAAATTATGCTTGCAAATTTACCTTCTACATCTGTTTTTTTTTTATTGTCCAGTCACTGTTTTCTCTTTAATTCTTTTACAACCTGATTCTTTGTGCTAATCTGCCAATTTCTATTTATCCCACTTTGTTATGGTTTCTCTTGTTGACTGGCATCCTTGATTTTATTTTCCTTTTTCAGAACGAAAGGATTAGACAATATAAATAAAAACCGATCACAATTCTAATAATTTCCATTGTATTCGATAGAGAAATTTCCGCCCACCACCCGTGGAAGGCGAAAGCAATTTCACTTCATCTGATGCGGTGAGCTAAAAGACTTTTTAAAAATGTAGCTTCTAATCGTGGAAAATCCATGGTATGATCCTTTCCAACGACCTGACGGCTTTGACCCAAGAAGAAACCTCAGTAGCGCAATTTCTAATTGGGAGGTTAAAGATGTCAGTCCTAGCGGCGTTACGAAGAAAATAACGGTGTGAGTCACAGTCAGCATGCTGGTAACGGAAAGAGGATCTGTGAATAGAGGGTTCCTGTTTAATAGATGATTGGAACGAAATATCAATAGTTACCACAGAGTGGCTCGAGTTACCAAGAGGGCAATATTGCAAAGCTCGGCAAGGGCGAGGAGAGGAGGTAAGAAATAAATAGAGAAGCATCTTGCTCGGTTTTACTATGGAAACGAGTAGGGAAGTTCACGATTTGACTCAGGCAAAGGGAAAGATAGCCTGGAGTCAAGAATACATTAGTATCAATGGAAGAATTTAATGTCTGAACAGCGGCAACATCAGTCCCTAGAATTTTTAAGTCACATGTTGTGGTGTGCATTAAAGTCACCGAAGACAAAGATGTTTGCAAATGAATGGAAAGAAAGTGCTTTTTTCTATATTGTCAGCTATTATGTCTAATATACTGCAATAAGGAAAAAGAGATAGCTAACAGAGCTTAGTAACAAAAGACGGAAGCGCATTAAGGAGTAGTTTGTGGCCTCAAGAGACAATTCCTTCGCCATCGGAGGATTATCCCGAATGTAAACAGCAAATACTGGAATCTTTTCGGCAAAGTGAAAGATAGCCTGGAGCCAAGATTACATTGGTAGCAGTGCAAGAATTTAAGTTAGTTTTACAGAGGGCAAAAATATCTGGCGACCATTCCAAATAGAAAGATTCTACGCTGCAGAAATTGGAACGGATACCACGAATATTAGTGAAAGAAAGGCTGAGGCGGGGAGGTGTTTTTTTTTTATTTTGAGGAGAGAGAGAGAGAGAGAGAGAGAGAGAGAGAGAGAGAACGAGAACATCGCAATTGTAACTATCTGTCGTCAATGTTAATACAAACCAGACAGAGCATGGCTGAAAACAGAGCATAGTGTAAACTCAGGGTTTCCCACTGGATATACACGCCCAACATGGCACTACAAATAGCCCGATATTATGCGACTGTTGATCAAAGCAGTTATTTATTTTATCAAATGCCCAGGGTCGGATTATCGGCTAGTATAGACTGCAGCCTAGGGCCCCGGCCCAGATTATCGCTTAGGCTAGTATAGGCTCCTTTCTAGATTTTATAACTTCTAAATAGTTTCATAAACTGAAATGATATTAATATGACAAACTCATATTTGTTTTGATTGTTTTATTGTTATAATGCTGGTTATAAAACATGTTTTTTTATTTATAACGGTTGTGTTGAAATCTGTGTTAATTTGGTTTGCAATAAATAGTAAAATAGCGGTATTTCTTAAAAAATATTTTTTATTGACAAAGGAAAGATAGTTATTCTTATAGCTATTATTTAAATAATTTGCAATAGGATTACTCCAGGCTATACAAATGTCGCTGAAATATATCACGATTAAAAAATACTCAAGACGAGTGCAGTCCAGTTAGAGGGTGGCTTCGTCTGAGAAGGGGGGCATAATTTCATCAGCTTAGTGCCCCTAGAAGGTCATAATCCGGCCTTGCAAATGCTACAAATAAACCGACACTCTGACCTGCTTACGGAAGCTTGATAAAATCTAGATTGTCATCTGCTGGCAGTTTTCTGGTCGGGAACAAAATGCATGCGATTGACAAGTCTACAGGGAAGCAGGTCACATTTCTGAAAATCATAGATTAAAGGAACTGCGAAAGTGTCTTAGCTATTTTTATTTTTATCTATCAGTTTGTGCCAGTTGATAAAATTAACAGACCCATAGTTTCAGGTTGAGGGTCGTTGTCAATCAGGAAAGGTCCCCCAACCGCACGCAAAAGAAAAAGCCAGATGGTTCGAGAAAACTTCCATGAGTCATATTCAAGATGTTACATCCTGTTAAAAAAATGAAGGAAGAATACATATCAAAACACTTTCATATCTTTTAATCAAACATGATTGGGCACTGGTCACTCTCTCACCGTTTTAATCAAACATGATTTGGCAATAGTCCCCGACATCGATGCTTGTAATTTGAAAATCTGTTTGATAAAATAGTTTGCTTTACTGTGTATTCGATTTCTTTATGTAAGACTTCCTTCTATCGCTTATATTGTATGTTTATACGACCCACTTTTGAAGCGAAAATATTGGCCTTCTTTTGCGAAAAATGACAAATTAGTAAATACGGATCTAAAATAAATCCTTGGTAAATGTAAAGTTAAACTCTCAGATACTGTAATGATGTTGATCCTCACCGTTTTGATTGTTCATCAGACGCGTTTTCATCTTTCTGTATTCTACCAAGATGAAAAAAGTAAAACCAAATGACGACCAGCAAAAATGAAAACTCTTATTAAATTGGTAGTGAAACCGAAATTAATCAGAATTGACATCGTGGCTTGTGTGTACATTTACATTTGAAAATAAAAACGTAAGAAAGAAGGAATCCCTCCCTGTCTTCGTTGAATAATGAGATTTTATAAGTGCCTTGTACAATTCTCATTTTACTATAGCAGACAAACGTAAATTTGATAACAATGACGATCGACATAATCGGTTATTTATGAATCTTTTACCAACGCAGCAATTTTCTTCTGATCGAACATTCGTTTCATGTTATACAGAGAACTCTCTTACATTCATAGCATCAGACTTTACTGAGGATCAGCGTAGATCGGCGAGACTTAACAGTTTTCTCAGGCCCTCCAAAATACTTTTTTTTTTTCAAATGGGTGTGCCGGATGATTACATTAGAAGTTGCCATGATTCTCTTTTGGTCATATTTAAAGCTAATCGTCGTCTCTTCATCGTTATATGGAATGCTGGGGTGGTTCAGCACCCTCTCCCACAAACTAACACTTTTTGCTGGAAAAAATAAACAGAAGACAAATTTGTCCTTCTTGGTTTCTGTATCATTTGTTTGAAGTCAAGGCATTAATTTTCAAAATAAATAATAAAACTTCATTTTTCATTTTTTTTCTTTTCAAAACAGCTTATAAAACTTTTATATAAGTAAGTAAGTCTTATATATGGAAAAAGACTGCCCGGCTCATTCACGAGTAAAAATAAACTACAAAAAATATATTTACACTATTTACATTGTTCAGACTGTTGTCCACATCTTTGTTGTTATATTCACAATGTTTCGGATGTTGTACGCTCCGGCCTTCTTCAGGTGATTAGAATTTCGAACCGAACACTTTATTTCGTCCACCAAGATTGATTGTTATAGTTCCACATGCCATGCTTCTTTCAGGTGTTCCAGTAGATAAAATCGTTGGTTGAAGTAATCAAGTGACTTGACCCAAAGAATTGTGAGTTTAATACCTGGTCACAGTAGAGGTGAACAATAAAAAAAGACTTGGATAAGAAAAAACTTAAAGAGAAATATAACTTAAAGGGAAATAACTGAAACTGAGATATCTGGAAGAGGCATATCACGTGGAACTAGAACAATCTACCCGGGTGGTCAAAAAAAGGGTTTCTGTTCGAAATTCCAATCACCTGAAGAAGGCCGGAGCATACAACGACCGAAACGTGAATATGACCACAAAGATGAGAACAACAGTCCGAACAATGTAAACAGTGTGAATAGTTACAATACCACATATCAGAAATATAGACAGATATGCAAAAAATGTATATTTAAAATAAGAACAAAAATGTTTGGAGTGAATAAAAGATCTAAAAATTTTATGAGAAGATCAGATAAAAAAATATAGAATCAAGAATCTTTAGTAGATAACAACTAACTTTTAACGTCTGATTTATCTCACCGAATTTTATTCTGTAGCGCTATGGCTGCAGTTTACTACAAACCAACGCCATAATCTACGACAGCTCTTTAGTATGCATAATACAAAATAGATTCAATTTCTGAGAAGACGTTATATATGTAAGCAATAATTAGACCAACATGTTATGATCAATTTAATAAAAGAATCTTAAAAAAAGCCAGGTTATTACTTTTTGTTTAATCTGTAGTAATATTTCGTAAAATCTACAACGACTTACAAAAAATGTGGAATGTTTTTCAAAGGAGCAAAGTAACATTTGAAAAGAAACACCCGAAAAAAACACAAAGCGCTCACATCAACTGTAAAAGGTTACGACAAAAACACGTGGTTCATTTTCTACAAATGCTTTCACATCCATCAATCAATATAAAGTACTCGAAATTCCTACCTGGCCAGTCGAGGTTAAACTATAAAAGAAAAGAAAAAAAAAACACTGTCGCAATTACACAGCAGAATGATGCGTATGTTCGTATGGTGTTCCCAATCCTGTCGTCTCGTTTTCCAAAGCCAAAGCGTAAAATAAGAAGATTAAAAAAAAGTTAATCTGTTCCGTTTATTTCAACTGGTGCAATCCTCTGAAAAATATCACCAGAATACTTCGATGAAATTAGGGTTCAGTCCATTAGAAAACTCTCGTGGAGTACATATCAAAATATGTTGTTTTTTTTTCGGGAAC